TGAGAAGACCTATTTCATTGCAAATTACACGCACGCTAAAGATAAGAAGTCTGATGCTGTAGATCGAGCCGCCCTTGACATCTTGGATTCTGTTCTGTTGTCTGCCGAAAGGTTTATCAGAATCCGTAAACAGCGAGAGAAAAATAAGATGGAGAGAGATGTGATGGCAGGAGGTAACAGATTTTGTCTTAGCTATTGGTAAATGTGAGAAAATGAAATGGATGCTTAATGTATGTTACTCCTAATCCGAGCAGTATATGCAGAACAATTTTTTACGATAAGTCCCGTATATGGCCCAAGCCACCAACGAGTTTTCTGTAGCTAAGCGATAGAGTATTCCGCAAGGAGGAACCGAAGGTTCCAATACGCTTCGAAGACACTTTTTTTTTCACACTCGACAAATATGTTGAACATATGTCTTCCTGACACCAAAAAAAAAACCCCAATAGTATTGGTAACGTGGTGGGCATGGGAGATGAAAGCAAATCAGGATACAGATAGAGGGTTGATGATTTTAGAATCTTCAGGCTTTTAGAATTCGTATTATGATAATAACCGACAAAAATGCTTAATGTAACTCAAGAGAGGTTCCTGGTTGGCAAGCTAAGCACAACGTTTTACATCAATATTCAACGACAAAATGAAATCTAGATTTTCTCACTTACTCCAATCCTTGAAGTGTACCAAAAAAACAGTTGTCTTCTACTAAAGATTCAAAGATTTTAACTTTAGTGTACAAACGGCTAAACACAGACGGCGAGTGTGCCTTTGTTGTTAATGTCCTCCTCAACTGCTCCTCAGTGCCCTTCTTATTTTTTCCGTCGTCAGGACCATCCCTTAGTGGGGAAACCATTGAGCAGTTCTTGGCCCGTCTGCAGCATAAACACCACTGGTCTGACCAGGGTAAGATGAAAACTTTGAAGGAACACCTGAAGAAAGAAGAGATCAACACCCTAGCGGTGCTGAAGGAAATGTGGGAAGATATCAAGTCGAGTCTGCCATTGTCCATTGGAATGAAGATAGTCTTGGAGGAGGAGATGCAGAGCTTGTGAAAGGCATTGATTGGGATTGAAAGGGATTGATTGATTTAGTTTAGGTCATTTAAAAAATGGTCGAAGACTTGCGCATAAAAAAATATGTAACCAGATTGGGTAGATTTCTGATTGCAGTTCTTTCCAATATTTTTTTTGGAAAATCTGCGGGACAAGGGTTTCTTTGCCCACGAAAAAGTCCTAGGTCTTAAGCAAAGTGAGCTGGGGAGAGGTCTGTTAGGGATTTGGCACTAACTGGTCCTTAGTATCAGAGAAAGATTCCCAGCAGGGTCTGACTGAGCTAAATTGAGCTATTTTCATCGAGGTCCAGCTCGCTCCGCGGAAGAAAAAACGTTTGTGCCACAGTCCTAATGAAAAGGGCCTGCTATCAGAACATAGTTTGCTTTTTCCATGTTTTCTAGGAACTATATTTCATATATTAGTGTTGTTTATGTATTGTGTTCTTCAAAAGCCAGTCGATAAGAAAGATGGCCAGAAAACGAATGCCGCTAGGTGAAAACGAAGGAATCTTTGTTTTCAACATATCAACTGCGATAAACTGCAAGGGCCTGTTATTTAAACAAAGTTTAGCTGTAGTTTAACAAAACTGCGCTCTAAGTCATCTTGAATTTAGCCAAACCTTTTATCTGAACTTTTGTTTTTTTGAGAACAGCGTCAAAGGGGCAGAAAGCTTATAGTGGAAGCAATTAATTCAATGAATCAACCCTATTAAAGAGAATCTCCGAGGCTCACTGCTGGCGTGAAACCACGGTTTGGGTTAGACCCCGTGGAGATAACCGGCCCTGACAGCTTTGTTCAGCAGAAAATAAAAAACAGTTGTACGCTTGATTAAACGCCATTAAAAAGAGATGAACTACCTTTCTGTGGATGTCGTCATTTTAAACGAGGTATTTCATTTACAATGACAGGGGTCTGGGGGTAAATAAAGGTACTGTTAGAATATTAAAAATAACGAAGAAGATTGCAAGAGAAAGATTGAAAGAGGAAGACGCATTCTTGAACTCCAAAAGAAACTGATGGACTACCATTTTCAGACTTGCCCATGGATCAAGAAAGAACCTTCACAGGTCTGCCTGTGGACGACATTGATGCGAATCGCATTGCCTTGATCGGCCCTTCGGGTTCTGGGAAAACTAGTTTTATCGGTAAGAACAAAAGTTTACTTTTTGAATCAACATCTGATGCTTCTATCACTGTTGTGATTAAGAAATAAACACGAGTTTTTCCAAAGAGTATTTATAAAATTAAACAAGGGCCAAGAATGAAAATTGGTCCTTGTAAATTCGCTATTTAACGAATTTTCAAAAGATGGGTTAATAGAAAGCTAATCAGGGGTTATTCTGTGTTTTTTGGCTTGTTTTCTGATCGGTACGCTTTTTTAGGTTTATCTCACTGATGTACCTGATTAACGTTAAATTAAACGATAAAATGGAAATGATTGGAAATGTAGTTGACTTTAACATTTAGAATATTTTCAAACGATAGAACAACGAATGCTTATTTTCGTGATATTCCACAATAGCTGAAAGCAGCCATAGAAACTATCACATCTCCTACCTATATCGGGCCGCATGCAGCTGACGCAAGCTCAATTACAGATTGCTGAGACGCAAAACAGCCGGGTGCATGCGATATTGCCCTCCCGAGGGTCATAAATCGTCCGAACAGATTAATAGAACGATTCACAGTCATGAATCCACCGTGCAAACCTCTATAAATCGCGCATCAAACAACGTTCACCTATTTACTCATAGTTCCTCCCCTACCATGGAGGTATGGATAGGACTGAAAAATTTACAAGGTGAAATGAAGGGGTAGGAGGCGGAGGGAAGTCTCGTACCCAAACCTTTCACGGCCAAGCGGTTGATACATTTCAGTTACAGGTTGGGATCTGGGTACGAGATTAGGGAAGGGGACAGTGAAGCAAACGGCCTAGAAAGAAAGCGGGGCATATCATTCGCCCAAGTGACGACAGCAAAACGATCATGATCAATGTTTTTTTCTTTCGAATTTAATGTTATTTTTATGTGCACCATTTCCGAGAATGAGTTGGAGCACGTTCGTTACCTAATTGTCTGTCAAAGTCGTTTTTCAACATATCTCAGACAAAAGTCGTCTGGGTATGTGTCCCTGAAATAAATTAGACAGTTAGTTACCGGGCGCTTTTCTGGCCGAACGGAAAGAACTCATTCCTCGCGAACACACGCGTATACTTGTGCAAATATACGGCGCACAAAACCCCATGCATTTCGCGATTAGTCCACTTATAGCGTGCAAACTAACTACCTCTGATCCATTCCATTTACGCACTCGACGTTCGACTGGTCTATTTTGGGAAATAGGCGAAGTGATCGAAATTTCCTGAATTAGCCTTTTAAAAGAAGAAAGCCTTCAGTTCTTAAAGAATAAAAATACGTAAATAATGTTCAGTAGCATCAGGAGACATTTAAGTGTCGCCTGAACACGAGAAGCGTTTCCAATTTCTTTCCAATCAATTTTGCCTCTACACTTTTCATCAGTTGATGTCCCACTCTGCAAATGTTCTTCTGCCTGTTCAAATATGGTTTCAAGTTCTCCACGCTTTAGTGTGAGTGGAGTTATTCAAATGCAGAATCTGTGTCTAAATCCGTGGACAAGTCCGGCGGGATCGCGCTTAGTTCGGTGGCGACAGTTTCCGGCACTGTGGGTGGGGTATCAACAGAAGGAGGATCTTTCTGGATGGAGGGTTCCTTGGGCTGACCTGTAGAAAAGAATGGATATAGAGCATGAGTGTTATCATAACAAAGGCCGCAGTGCATTCGAGGAAAGAGTCATGAGAGCTAGCGGCTAACATCCACCTAATCTTACCTTGGTTTTTCTATATTAAGCAGCTGAGGAAGTGGGTATTTTCACAACAAGAGATGCTGGTATATGACAGGTGATCTCTAGTCATTTGAGAAGTTTCGCTAAAATTTCACTAGTTGCCAAAACTTTAGGCTGAAGTGAGAAACTGAGAATGAATCGTCCCAGCGTTCCCAGTCCATGCTAGAGCGCAGACCCACAAACTTGGTCGCAAAGGTTGCAAGCTTATATCACTCATGACTTTTGCCCCCTATCTTAGCCCTCGTGCAAGATTGAAAGACTTTTTTGTTACAGTGGCCTGCATTCAAATAACATTCAACGCTATATGAGGGTGCTGAAACTTATTTTTGTGGGTTTTGGGTCAAAATAGTATGTTCCTACGAATTTTCCAACACAAGTTGTTCAAAATTGTAGACCGTGCTTTATTAGTAAGATCACAACGACTCCCTTAGGAAGAAACAAAGGCCCTTTTTTTTTTCAACGTTATTCATTCTTGCATATAATATACACAGAGCGTGTCACATGCTAGTCTGAGTACTACCGTCCGATAGTTAAGCACCTCACGTATGACGCAAAGAATTTGGACAACCCTGTGAGCGCCTTAAGTGTGGGGAGGGGAAGGGAGGGGGGGGGAAGGTAGGGAATCTCTTCCCCAAGGGCGCTGAGGGTGGGGTGAGGTTGAGATAATTCCAATCTAACTTACCGAAGCCCTTACTCTCCTGGTGGACTTCACTTGAACTGTGTCGAATGTCAATCACTTTCACCTTCTTCTTCGATGATTCAGCTCCAGTCTCTTGAGAAGCGCGCCTCTTGTTCTCAGAATCGTGGGGACGAATTTCAGTCTGAAAGCAAGACATATAAATTTTTGTTTGGAAATTCGTCTCAATTCTTTAGCTTGCGAAGAATTAGTCCCAACTAAACGCCATATAACATTAGAGGAAAGAAGGGCGAGTTCTGGTAAATGCATGGGTCTTAAGTGGAAAAACCCACTGTACTTTTCGGAAAAGCTTCACACAGAAGTTTCTTGAGCGTCGAAAGTCTTACGAGATAGCAATGACTTGCCCCCAATCAGATGCAAAACTTGAGCCAATCGCAAATTGACCACTCGCGTTTTCCCGCGCTTTTAATAGTTTGTTTGTTTCCCCTTTAATTTCTGATTGGTTCCATGCGATCTTTTTTTTTTGTTCTGATTGGCTGATTGTGATAAATCTCGTCATGGTTTTTCCATTACTAAACCAAATGCACAGCATAAGAGAAAGTATTTTAACATACTTCTTGAGTCCAACCGGTCTCTTCTGGGTCGTCAACTTCAGGTGCCACAGGAAGGTAGTACACGGAGTCCAAATCTTCATCGTTCTCCTCGTCACTGAAATAATTTAGCAGCAACATTCATGTCAAATTGTTCAATCATTCACACCCTAACATCAGTAGGCATATTCTCCATACTGTTCTCAATACATTTTCAAAAGTAAAGACAAGGAGAATTTGTTTAAATATCAAGAGCTTCTTTAGTCGATGATTGTTTACCTCATTCTCATGACCTCAATGTTTGATTCAGGGGTGATATTGTGAGGAGAAATTAGATGTTAGTCACTCTTAGGGTCAAAGGATTAAAGGAGAACAATCTTCCTAATGTGACTCTAAATTAAGAATTTGCATAAAAATAAATAAGTATAGAAAAGATTGTACCTGCTGCACAAAGCTGGAATTCTCTCCACTGCACACACATCAACTTCATCTTCCTCTCCTGCTTCAGTTTCGGATGGAACTTCAGCTTCTTCGTCTTCATCCTCCTACAAGTTAGAACCAACACTCAGCCCAACCCCTAGTATCTCCGCTTGGCTCAATTAGCACTTTCCGCCCTTTGCACCCATTGTATTTCCCTCTCTTCACACCAAAATCATTTTTCTTACAGAATTTTCATTGCATACAAAAAGGGTACTCTGTAGACAGAAGATAATTCCCACCAATCAACTTTTAATGAAAAATAGAGTAACAATAGCTCATGCTTAGCAATCAGACTCGCAGCAAAACATATACTTACTATATCAAACTCATTCTCCTTCTCTTCATATTCGACATTTTCATCCAACTCTTTAAAATCTGGTGCAAATGCACTCCAGTTTTCCTACGCAAGAGAGACAAAATCGGATGATAAGTTTAAAATAAACTTATTTCACTGCAACCAGAAGGAAGGAAATTACAAATGTTGTATGACCAATCTGAACGAGTAAAGAGACCTTAAACAATCATCTGAATTGAAATTTGGATTAAATTAATTTAATCAGTCTAGGTCTATGTGCCACCAATAATGAATTGATATCACTTTAAATAGCTACAAATTAATTATTAATTAGTGATTCTCCAGTCTAATACAACAACTATCAACACAATTTTAATATTCTAAAAAACTTACCACGTGATTTTGAGCCCAAATCGAGACAACTCCACTTGAAATCGAAGCTATTATGGGTCTGATAGGGTGCCACTAATCATGGAAAAAAAAAATGAATAATAGAGAGGTTATGTTCATCATTCCACAAGGGGAACACAGTCAGCCAATTGAAAAAATTTTCCTCTTTGAAGACATGTACCACAACAAGAAGGGGATGTTGAAGAAAATTGCAGTCATATGTCAGCCTTTAAACAGTCTTTGTTATAGTTTCTAACAGTCCGTTTGACCAACAAAATAATATTCCAATCTTACCACGACTTCCAACAACAGTTCGCCCTTGGTACCATGAAGAATTTTAACAAGATTTCCGACTCCTTTTTCCCAAATGTACAATGCATGAGTGCGAGATGATCCTGTCATAACACAACACATTTAGTATGAAAAACCAGCAAGAACACCACCAATGTAACATTGCATCTTGAATTAGATATTTTGCTACAGGAGTGAAAGAACAGTGGATTGTTCAAACTTCAATTGTTACCACAAGTTAGCAATTCAATCAGTCGCATTACATTTAAGTATACATAATTTACATTCAGGA